TCGCTCAGTAACATGAGTGGTACGGGCACGGCCATACACATCGAAACCGTTTGATGATATCCAAGTTAATACCACTTTCAGAAGATTCCATATGCTGCTATGCCATACATGAGGTTTAAGTTAAATAACTACTGTGAATATTTCCATACCATGGCTATGAGAAACGGATTAAAGCCGGTAAAAAATAGGGCAATCAAACTCCGCAGCGGAACAGCAGTAATGTGACCTGCATCGTGGTCTATTACGCAGTGGTGCTCGGAGTCAAATCAAAGAATTGGAACTTATCAAATTGAAATATATTTATGTGCATTCAAGGTTTTTATTCCGCCCACTCCAGTGCACGTTACCTTTAATCCTACATAACACGAAAAAGCAATACAAATGTTAACATTAGGTCACGCCACACATGACTAAGTAGGCTACTTATATGTTTGTTTTAACTATACTTTTGCAGACAATATGGAGGAAAACGAAGATGACGACGACTGGGATGAGCAACAAAACAATTTCAGTTTTTCGTGAAAGTAGATGTTTTACTCGTGCCTCTTTTAAATGCTTGAATTGGTACAAATATATCCTACATCCACAAAATCGGTGGTGTTTTACTTTGTCAGTTTTTCTGTGTGTTTGAATTGTAAGTGTTCAAAATGGTATATCTGTGACGTATTCTTCTACGTGGTAATTTTATGATGGAAATCTTCATTTCGGAGGCCATGTTGGCAATTACCGCAATCCAATTATGGTTAGTGTAAAGGATGTTTTAGCAAAAACCTGTATTTGAGAGCGATTACCAACTTTCATGACCTTTGACCGATGCTGCCAGCAACATATTTTGAAGGGACAATCGACGTACCGCGCCGTTTCAGACTACGCGCGGTTGCTATTCGTACCTAGGGTTGGGATTTTGGGACCAGTTTATGAAGTCCCGGTATCGGGATATCCCGGGATTGAGCCGTTTAATTCCGGGATTAAGTAAAAAATTTAAACAATTTGCATGACAATAAAATCACGTACCGGTATTTATTCCATGCAATATCGAAGCAGAAGTATTAGAGCATCTAGGGCAGTGGTTCCCAACTTTTTTTCATATCGCGGCACACAATTTAGCTTTTTGAATATTAGCGGCACACCTATCACAAAACTCGAACAATTACTACCCAGTACCCATTAAGAGTGCGATAGTCGAACGCGTAGAACTGTTTTCTTACATTAATGTAAACGAGAGCGTCTTTGGAGCACCTCACATTATTGTAAAAGTTGGGCGGCCGTACGTGTAATACGTGCTCTTCTAACGCACCGCTGACCACGCGCTCCGGTTTTGCTCGCCCTTCAACGTTACGCCCTTATTATCTCATGTGTTCTCACTTTTTCACAACCTAATTCATTTTTGTTACAATTCAATGTTTCTCCCATGAGTCCCATTGCCAAAATCATTCAATAGTGTTACTGTCGGCTATTGCGAGAGAAATGAAAGTGGCCAACAAACTGTATTTCATTACAACAATCAATTTTTAGCGCTTAAAGCCTTAAAACACTAAATAGGTTTAAAGTTGTTATAAACAATTTTCCCAGCTGGACGTATCTTTTTACGTTATGAAATTCGTGCAAGGCCCGAGCATAATTTGATGGCAAATATCATACCATTTACTGTGTCGAAACTAGGGCTGGGAATGGTTAACCGGTTAACCGATTTCAGATGGATAACGGTTACGATTAATTTTAACCGTTAACTGACCTCTCAGGTACAAATCATCTTCATACCGTACAATTTCTTCAAATATGATTACGTCATCGCAAATTTATCTCCTGTGTCATTTAATTCAAAAGAATATTACTAATTGTGTGGGTAAGGACTCGATAAATGTGAAAATAATGGAAGTACAAAGATTGCTGATTATGGAAATTTGACAATGATGAATTCAGAATCAGTTTTCGGTCGATTTCGAAATATATTGTTCACGATTTCATCCCAAAATCGGATATTCAATGTCATACAACAAGTGCGCAGTTGATGCCGTTTTTCTTTATGATATATATCTCGAAGTAAAATTCGCACATCGAACTCTGATAATTTGTCACATAAATGACGTTAAACAACGGAATCAGGTTTTCTAAAATACTTCAACACGCCCGAACCATGCTGCCTATCTCTTGAAGCAGAGAAATCATGAAACTATCTCGATTTGTGAATAAATTTTAATAAGCGATACCGGGATATGAACACGCGAAATTGCTTTATAAGCATTGTGACGTAACAAGATGAAATTATAAATTATTACGTCAAACGTCACGCGGCGGTTAACCAGTTAATTTTACCCGGTTAACGATTAAAGTGTTTTCCCTGAAATTCCCAGCCCTAGTCGAAACGCTTTTTCGACTTTACAGACCGCAGAAACTATCCGAAAAAGATAACCATTTTTGTGTTCGATATATGATATAATTGTCCATTCCATCACGCTTTCGTGAAGTAGTGCAATTTACTACATTTATGAAGGTTTTATTAAGTTTCATTGCATCAGTGTTTGGACTAACTCACGTTTCGCCAGATTACAGATCACAAGGGTGGTCAAAATAGTATATTTTCATCGAATCGAATAATTTTGACGAATTGTCTAAAATCGGGTTGAATTGGGGATTTTATTCCGATTTTTAACTTCTGGGTCGCCTTTGATTTTTCTTGTCATCGTTTGTAAATTAACCGTCCCAATTTTAAGCTAAATATATTATCATTTCTGACGGCGGAATGCGGATATTTATGAAGACGATAGTTCACCTTTTTGATTTCACTTCTCAAAAGTGTGACTGTTTTATTTTCGTTTTAAAGCAAAGCATTGCGTGAATACTGAATGCTATTTTGAGTTCAAATTATGATTAAATAAGTCGGCAATAATGGCAATTCTACTAGTCAAATAATAATTTCTTGGTACAATTTGCGAAAAATTTTGCACAATAATTCTACTTCCACTTAAACTGTAAGCGTGAATGGTTATTTTTCAAAATAAGTTTTAAATAAAATGGTATACGCAACCATTTGTGAGAATATCTATATGTGGATAACAAAATCTTAAAATCCCGGGATTTTTTGAAAATAATTGCGGAATCCGGATTGAAAAAAACAGTCCATATCATGGGATTTCCCGTGGTCTCAACCCTATTCGTACCTGCTTCGAAAAGCTCGCTGTGCGTAAATGTTGCTTCAACAGTCTTTTTATTATTATAAATTTAATTCTGACTAACTTATGTTAAGTTGCATGCACAGTACCACGGTCTATTTGTCGTTTGGGTTGAGTACCAGTACCAGTACCGTACCTGGTAGTGGTGCACTCATACCGGTACTGCAGTATCGTCAGAGGACCGGATATCGTGTCAAACTAGTCTATCGTGTACCTTAAAACACTGACATATTACAAAAAACCTACAGCATCTCTAGTACAGCATCTCTTGGATCATCTACCGCCCAACCACATGCGAATACACTGCAAAATCGCAGCATCCCCCCAAAAAGTGGTCCTGGCAGCAGTCGTCACGCCCTGATGAGTCGTATGAAAGTCGGTAATTGTCAACCGTGCCAAATAAGTAAATCATTCATTTCCACTACTCCACAGATTTAATGTTGTATGCTAACACTGTTCAGTAGCTGAATTGTAGTATACTCTATATATAGTTTGAGTTTTTTTTTTAATAAAAACATCACTTTTTCACACACGATAACACATAAATCCAATTACACTTAAAAATATGAGTTTATGTTAACTTGCCACCTCTTTAAGTGGTTCGACAATTTACATTTTCTAGTTGCAATAATTTTTTCACAGGTATAAACACTTTTTATCATATATAAAAAGTTTGAAAGGTTGAAGCGCTAAGCAACATTTTTTTGGTTAGCAACAACACTTTACTAGAATGGTTCACAGATTGTGTGGACTGTGGACCAAACTTAGATTGCTGTCACCGAGGTTTACTGAGTAGTGCTACCAAAATTGAACATGTTGTTAATCTTGAGTGCGATATTTATGCCATAGAAAAAATAACATCCTGGTGAATAAAAGTTACCGTACCCGTCACAAGATTTGACCTCTCTTTCCCAGAGTGAACTAAAGGTAGTCGTTTCTTGATAGCCGTTAGGCTTCGCTAAAGAGCAGTCTTAAAAGTCTGATTTTGTACGCTGATTTCAGTAACGCTGGCCGCCTGCTTTTCCTCCTACTTTCGTGCACTTTTTAGCAGTCTAGGACAAATTCACGCCTTTGGTGTGTTAGTCTGTTAGTAGACACCGGTAGCCTGAATATAAGTATGTACCGTAATGTAAATGCCGTAGAAAGTGAATTAGTTGTCTGTTTTACTGCACTAGTCTATCAGCCGATCGGTTCTTATACTTTTTCTTTATAGACTGCCAGAACGGTCTGACGGTACCGGTACCGGTACCGGTCTGGTGGGCGGTGGCTGTCAATTTGGCTTCATATTTTTCATCTTCTTCCTCCTAGCTGCCCAGAGAAAAAAGGAAGTATTGGAAAGATTGTGAACAGTTTGATTACATAGTAAAGACTTCCTTCTCGTGAAAATGAATATTCCCTCCAAACCAGGGCTATTGAGTCGGAGATAATTTACGGTACCGGTACAAGCTCAGCAGTATCAGGGTGTGGCGGATCGTGCTACTGTCTGACTGTGCTAGGTGTCAGGAATACGCTCACCACCAGTACCGATACAGTACCTTATGTTACTGGTACGACACAAGTCATGTACCGGTATTTCCTGAGATGATTGTTTCTCCGTGATTGTTTTAGTAAACTAAATGCTGAAATGACGGGACATCTTGGAATCAGAGAACTGTGGCTTACTGTCTATGCTAAATTCTAGTTCAAAATTACGGATGGCAAACATATTCTGATATTTTAAACTGAACATAGACCTATAAAAACCGCTGTGTTTCATTGTCCTCTTCGTTACCGTATTTTTGACTCCTGTCTACAGGACTAAGAAAAAAATGTTTACACTTCATTCAAAACTTATTTTTTCTGTATAGTTCGGCTAAAATGTAAATTGTATAGGTTTTAATATCCTATCCATTTTAAAATTTGAATTGCAAAATGACTGCTGGCAACATTCTTGCAAAAGCATTGTATGATAATTTGGCAGAGACAGAGGATGAACTTAATTTCCATCGCGGAGATATTGTTACAGTTATCGAGCAAAATACTGCAGGAATTGATGGATGGTGGCTTTGTTCTTTGAATGGTCGGAAAGGCATTGCACCGGGGAATCGCTTACGCTTGATGCCCTTAATGCAAGGTATTTCGCAACAAACTGTTTTGGAAAAACCTTTGATAAATGTGGAAGATGAAGAATACGATATTCCAACTCACCAGTATTATAATCAGAATAACAATAATAATGATCCTAATGATGTTTATGATGTCCCGGTTTCGAGGCATTTCGGGTCACGACCGGAACTCGATCTTGACCCTGATGAGGTATATGATGTCCCACCGGTTCATGCTACATTGCATACATCAAACATTCAATTGAGCAATGAAAATTTACTAACGTCTTCACCGCAACATCGGACGGTTACAATTGAACAAGAAGTCTATGATGTTCCTTCTAATCTAATCGCTCCTGCGAATATAAGCAACATAACCAGTGAGTACGATCCTTCGGAAATTTATGATGTGCCACCAAATCGGTCTTTAGAGCCTGAGGAAGTATACGACGTGCCCGTGTCTAATAAAATGTCAGGGCCTGAACCACTAGATGTCAGTGCAATGCTCGTACAACAAGAGGAAGACGAAGAAGAATATGATATTCCTCTGTCACGTCCGTTTGGCCAAGATACGGTCGATAGCGGTTTGATTCCAATGTATCAAGCTTCAACTCCTTCATCGAAAGTGGTTAGCTCCGATCGTCTTGATTCACCGGATTTAATTTACGATGTCCCATCGTCTAATCGTTCAGCTGGTGATATCACAGATGGGAGTTTGAATTTGAGCAGCGTGAGCACAAGTTCAAAATTTCATCCTGGAAATCGTAGCTTGTTGAAACAAGAATCTGAAGACTATGTTTACGATGTGCCGCCACGAATCACACGAGAACCGTTATCAACTTCACAACAGACTGAGAACGAGTCGCTAGATCTCGTCATCAAACGTCTATCTCTTGTCGGTTCAGCGGAATATAAAAATGATCGTAAATCAACTTCATCGAGTGATTCTCTTTCTAGTATTATTGCAGCGAACGCCAACTATACGGAGTTAAATCTGGAGTTATCATCAGCCATTGACCAACTTATAAAAATGAAACAGTCTCTGGAAGACAGTGTTTCGGTGCTGTTAACCCACGTCTATGAAGGCTGGAGGTTAAAAGAAAACATTTCTGGCAAAATTGGTGTGATTAAAGGAGTTTTTGAGGTCGTTCTATCAGCAGTTGGGCAATATGTTGAATTCGCAAGAGGAGCAATGGCTAATGCCAATGCAGCCCAGCAACGAGGTTTATCTGTAACTTTACCCCGAGCTCTTATAACAGGGATGCATAAACTTTTGCAGCCCCTGGAAGAAGATAATTTAATGTTACAGCAAGCGTTTACTGCATTAGATCAAGCATATTGGAGCCTTGGTAAAGTAGTATCAAATGATCCAGACTTCGGGGTCCCTGATGAGATTGATAGCTTCGTTATGACATCCCGTGCTGTGTCAGATGACGCTCGTCAGATAGCTGCGTTCATTCACACACACTCGCAATACCTTTTCAAGAAAGTGGAGACACGACCTCCAACTGCTTTTGAGAATTACAAAGCACAACAGATTATTCAAACAAGGCCTTTACCAGATCTACCTCCCCAAAAGCTACGGTCTCCCACTACTATTATCACAAGACCAGATGAAGACTCCTGGCTTGAGGATTATGATTATGTTGCGTTGGACGACCAGGGTCAAACCATACAAGATGGTACATTCAATAACAGCAATTCAAGCGTGATCAACGAGGTTTCAATAAAGGTGAAAACGCGACATATCGAAGTGTTACAAGTTTTGGAAATGAGTAATAAACAACATGGCGTCCCCAAGATTATCAACGGTAAAACAAACGAGAATAACTCAATAACTAATGACCAATTTACTCTCCAAGACATGGTTGAAGATTTACCAATTCTTGTTGAAAGCCTTGTATCAGCAATAAAAGGATTTTACTCGTGTTTGGATAATAACGACCCGCCGAAAACCTTTGTCGCACTTAGCAAGCAAGTTATTCTTTGCGCCCACGAACTTGTCTTTTTTGGAGATACTTTATATCGACGGTTACACCATCAACAAATGCAAGATATAGTTAAAGGACATTGTACAGAAATATGTACTTCATTAAAACGAACTGTTGCGGCAACTAAAAATGCAGCCCAGCAATGGCCTTCTGTAAATGCAGTGCAGGAAATGATTGACAGAGTCACAGACATTTCTGCATCAGCACATCAATTTAGAATTTTACTCAGTCAGTGTTCTGTAAGGTGAGCAAAAATCATTGTGGCAATTAAAACTTTTTATGTATAAATCAGTGCTGTGGACTCGCGATTGTAAAATCTTAACTCCAACTTCGGCTCAAAAATTCAAATTTTGATATCAAACTATCACATATGCAAGGTACTTCAATTACCGTAATAGACTTGCATTGAGACATCTTAGTAAACTTGATGCTTTCTAAATATACAACTCCGGGAAATTTCGACTCCTTGTCATTTAATTTGAATGTATAACTCCGACTTCACAGCCGTCATGGGAGTACGTTGACCTTGGCAGCATACCTATACTTGACTTACCGTAAATCAAGGTCAAATATGTGCAATTCTCAAATCCGTTGCGCAACAATTCTAGCACCTATCACTTGTCTTATTTTTATGGAACATGTGGTGCTAATTTCACAACCTTCATTTCAGTTTTATATTTTTTATTTCAAACATAATTGAATGATTTTATCAAGATTATTTTTGTCAATTTACATTCGGTGCATGGTTTTTTTCTGTTGTGTCTATATTCTCCCTAGTTGAGGAAAGCAATGAAATAACATTTTTTAGAGTCACGTCATGTATACAAATAAATATTAAAATTAATTCAATTCCTTTTATGCTTCATTCAATATCAATACAACTAAACCAGCTTACGTATGTTACATTTCAACATTTCAATAAAATAGCACTTTTTTAATACTTTGGTTCTAATTTCTGAAAAATGTGACAAGCTGTTTTGATTTTACTGCAGCAATATGGTTCTCTTTTAGCATCTCATTCATTGGGCCTTGTGAAATCAATCTAAATTATAACAATCCAACGGACAAAGAAACCCAACCCTTAGAATTGTCAAACACATTATTTATTTATCAAATTGCATTAGATCATCGCAGTTGTCGTTTCAGCGCTAGACCATCGCCGCAAATAAGACTTCATGAAATTTTAAAACAGTTGTTCAAACTGTAAATAGGTGACTCATCCAATACTGGAAATATTTTACATTCCGTCCATTTTATTAACACTATGAGCTTTGTAATTTACTTTGTACGATACATTTTCTTCCCGGAAGGAATTTGAGTTCATCTCATTACTATAGGCTTCCCACTGGGCACTGAGACATACATAATCCCATGATTTTCTACCATAATTATATGAGATATAATGAAATCATATAGGTATGTTTCAAGTTATTTGTTTATTAATTTTCGTTGCAAGCTTTTGATATTCTTTTAGATACTGGTACTTCATATACAGTAAGCACTTTCCAATGTTGTGATTTTTTCTTATGGGCATTTTAATGTAAAATTGAATTATTTTGAACCTAAGCACACCACCGTACCCCGAACTTGGTGGCTATACTATAAGAATTTGTCAATTTACTCAATTTAGGCAAGTTAATCCGCTATATATATAACTGTTTGAAAGTGAAGACAAGAAATGTACTGGTATTTGCAATATTGATATATGAGAATAAGTTGAACATAATCTAATTTAGAACATTCCAAAAGTATTTTTGAGTCTGAAATATGTTAATGTTTTATTTTAGATTAAGTTTAATACCCGAGTAATTTTCATTGCATAGTAAAGGACATAGTAGACTATGTTTGAATAGTTCATCATTTTGTGAATTCCAAGTCAAGTAAAGTTTTATCTGGCTGTGAGATGTCCCATTGTTCAAAATCAAGAACTTACAGTGAATTCAACTATTTTAAATGTATTTCATTATTCAATTCAGCTCGCATTGCTATGAGCCTGGTATTTCTGGTTTCATTTTCAAGGAGTATTGGCTTACTGAGGTCTTTGTTTTTATAAAAAGAAAAATCATATAAAATTTAGGTTGGTACATCCTACATGTAAGCTTTTTTTCAAAGCCTGGTTTACTAATTTAATAATTTTATCCCTGATTTTATTGGTTTTTAAAGATTTTCTATGTTATTAAAATTTAGCCTGCTTTCAAAGGTTTTGTATCATGTCATCTTTTACAATTTCTTAGTAGCAACTTATGGCATCAGTTTCTTATCTGTTGTTTTTATAAATTCAAATTCTCTTGGTATTGGCAATTGTGGTTAAGGAGAGGCAGCCTATATGTCTGAATTCTATTTTGGTAGCATATGGTGTGGTGGTGATATACATTGCTTATGTAAATAAGTTCTGTTACATTGTAGTGACATATTAAATTATGGTAATACTATACTCTATTGTAGAATATCGATGTTAGATTACTTTCGAAGCATAAGATCATAAAATTTACTCCATAAGATTTTACAAATTAATATAACTCTCTATTTGAAATTCATGCATTTCCCCACTAAAATAATAATTTTCACAAATTAAAATTTTAAATTCCCATTTGAATCTATTTTAATCTAAATATTTCAACAATCTAAATTTATTTTAATTCCTTAATAAGTATTTCGGATAGGCCTATTTCTTTCCGTCATTTTAAAGCTCAGTTTCGACAAGATTTATTTAAATTTCAATATCAAATATACAAATAATATTAAAGAGTTTCAGAACTTTTTATGGGCATAAAATAACTGCTCTATAAATGAGCTGGACCCAAAATCGACTCGCAATTGCTTATGATGAATTGCATTGTAATTCAACCACGATATTCGCTAGGCTTTGATTTTAAGGATTTTGAATGATGAGCTTCATTAGGTTTTGTTTGCTTGAAAGGCTTCTTGCAAGATTAAGTACCGGCAATGCTTTACATATTTGAGGTTTAAACTGCTAATGTTTCTTTATAGATTGGTGTCGGATGACATTCTAATTTTGATAAATTTCCCCTATCTGATGTAAGTCATGGATATGAGAAAATAACATTTAGTCGAATTTTATTTAAGTATATTATCATTTAACTTGACTTTATGTGGTAGCAAGGATGTTCAAAACTGAACATTTTACTGTTTTGAATACATTCCAAAATGATAATTTTGACATTAAACACAGAGTGTCCCAACAAATCCAACCTCACTTGAATGTTCTACATATCCAACAAATTTATGTGACTTTTATTTTTAAAATAGTTTTACAAGCTTAATACTCCAATGACCTTTATGAAATTATGCCTTGAGGGGTTCGGATAGTTTATAAATATTGCGTAATCATAATGGTCGATTGGTCAGAAAATAAATTGGGCTTGGCCAACTTTTGTCAAAAATTGAAGTAATGCCGAACCAAATAGCTTTGGATCCTTTCAATAAATAGTAGCTCTCCACATATTCGGTAGATGTCAGATATCGTACATGGCCTTGTTTGGAGCAAATGGCATGATAAGCCTATGAAAAAATTAAAATAATGTGCTAATATCAACTCAAAAAAAACAATTTTAGAATAATTTGTCAAGTATTTGGAATAGTTTAAATGCCTTCTGTTGAATGTAATATATTTGTGCAAAACAGTTCTCGATTTGGATTTGATTGAAATCACTTTAATACCAGAAAATTCCCAAAGCTTTGGATTTTGATTTCTAAGGTAAATGTGTTAGATTTAAAGGTGTGACTGCAAACATTTGAACTGATTTGACCTGGTTTTTGTGAGATATCTCGCACTGTAATCTAATAACATATGGTCTCCATGGGCAGATCTTTAAAGCTCTCATATTCACAGTTTGCACCATGAAATCTTCTCTCCCCAGGGAAGGTTAGAAAACTCTTAGGAATTGCCATTTGACCTATTGTTGTGTGGCAAAGATGGTTAATAAGCGATGCTCATTCCATGTTTGTAAAATTATCAATTGATTAAAATCTAAATTAGAGGATTTTTGCAGTTTGGAGATTAAGAATAAAACTATACTACAGAAACTGATTTGTTCCATGCCAAGAACTATACTTTTAAACTTACACCACAACAATATTTATATATTATTTCAAAAACCAAAATTTGCTATTTTGAGGGATTTAATAAGAGTCTTGCAGAACACTAACACAAATATATTTCTGTAACGTTTCATTTGACCAAAGTTAGACTTCCTCAAATAAACATAATAACGTATCTCAAAAATAAAATGACATGCATTCAGCATGAGCCTTTCGGACATTATATTGAATATATTATACACCAGTTCTCTGGCCAATAAAACTGATCAAAAGTGGATATCACTTGCATTCCTTCTCAACACACTCGTCTTGAAATTTTTACCACATCCATTTTCCGTGAGTCTGTTAGACATTGGAATATTCAAAATAAAATTATATCAGATAACAGGCCAGTATGAACACCAAATAAGACAAGTCAAACCTAAATATTAGTTGTAGTCCTATCTTTGGTACTCGCGTAGTATGTGTGTCATGTTAGAGTTAGGCCATAATTTTATTCCGATTTTTCTTCGAGTTCAGGGACTGTCTGTGTTAAGTGAATATTCCCCTGCCCATAAGTTTTAGTCACACAACTTGTTGTGAAGTAGGCGAACAAAATTAGTTACCTCCATTCATATTGGTACACACACTTCCGGAGTGCACTATCCTTAATATTCTATCAAATCCCGACCTCGCGGTTTAATTATTTTGAGGCAAATTTGTCAGCTATTTTGGATTTGAATTGAACTGTTTACAATATTTATGGTTGACCTGCGGTAAGGAATTCGGAGAATTTTCAAAACACACTAGACATTGTAATACCTTGTTGTACTAAGGTGTGTCTAATCTATAATAATAAGTGGTTTAGGCTGTTGTTAGAGGTCCCATTATAGTAGTTAGGTTGTAATTGGAAATAGATTGATGTATCGCCCTGAATAATGAATACTTTTCAAGATAAACTGGTAAATGCTGAAATTCAGGTACTCCCGTAGTGTGTGTACCAGGTTAGGGTTAAGCCAAAATTTTATTCCAATTTAGGGTTCTATTTACACAAGTTCTGGGACTATCTGTGATAGCCAAGTGAATATACTCCCTGTCCATAGGTTTCAGTCCCTTCACACAACTCGATGTAAAGTCGGCGAACAAAATTAGTTACCTCCATACTTGTACACACACTTCTGCAGTGCCGAAATTCATGCTGTAAATAATTACTTGAAAATATTACAAAGAAAGTAAGTGCCCTAAGCTGGTCCTAACTTTAATTTGGAGATAGGTATATTCACCACAGTATTTCAATAAAATGTCGCAGAAATTTAAGAATTCAAAATATGCTTTTTCCCCATTTTCTCAAAACAGCTTTTTTTTTCAGTTTTATGCCTTTGAGTTGTGTGTTAGATTGTTCCATATTTACTTGGGATAGAAAAGTAGGCAGCTTACTCATAAAAGTCCTCGAACTTGGATAGTTTCTTTCATTTTTGCTGATTTTTAAATCCATGTGGTTTAGTTTGGGGTGTTATCAATACTGTATTTCAAAATATCAGTCATGTTGAAGTCTTACAATTATCGCTCTACTAATTTGATAGATTATTGGACATAATACCCATCTCGTGGTTAATAGGGAATTATTATTTAGTTTATGCCGTATATAAGCAGCACTGATATGCAACAGGCATATTTTTGAAGGAGCAAGAATCTTTCCTGTTTAGCATTACCAAAACATGTACTATAGTCTATAGGGTGTCCATGAAGACTTGAATTTTTTTCAAAATTGCAAAGGAAATTTATCGATACCATATATTGTTTTGGCCCTCACAGAGGTATTAACACTGACTTCATAACAAAACCTAAATTGTTACGAGACTTTAGGGGCACTCTGTATATCCTTAGTGAGGAGGTGGGCATTGTCCTAATTCCATAAAATTCACAGATTTCATCTCTGGCCATCAATTTCTGTAGACCCTAGTTGGTTCAATTAAGCATGAAAAACATGGACTCTCGTAGCTATTCCAAATCACAGACAGCGCAGATATGCAACGAGCAACTATTTTTGAAAGCGGAAAAACATTCTCAGTTTTGGCATTGCCTAAACATGTATTACCGTAATTATACCCTTAGTGATGCGGTGGGCATTGCCTTAATTACATAAAATTTAATGATTTCATTTTTATTGAATTTGTTGGCCATCATTTTCTGTAGACACTAGTTGGTTCAATTAAGCATGAAAAAATATGGGCTCTAATAGCTATTACAAATTAAACCAGGAAGAATCTGTTATCATTCAGCTCACTTTTAATCTTCTGCTAATCTTTTACTGAAGTGTTTTTGTCTGTATAACATAAGATTGATTTCCTGTGTAATGTCTGATGTCATTGCTACTGTCTATTCAAGTCAGATAACATCCCTATTGTGGTTGAAGCATTGCAGACGTTTTATTGTCTGATTCCTGGAATGGGATTTATCTGATAAGAAATTCCAAGATGTTGGGAAAGGAAACAGTTTATTGATTTGTTATTGAATGTAACCCATTGTGCATTGGTTGTGTAAATTTCATAAAAATATCTAGAACCAAATTCTGGTATTCATTCATTATGAATGCTATTGATAAATCATGAATTAATATGTTTCTATAACTGTTAGTTTTTGTCTTTTCAAATACCTTCATATTATATTTTGATTAGGCAATTCATAATTTTAAATTTTCAAAAATACTTTCATTGCTCTCAAAGATTTTGTGGCATGAATTATTTTGAAGTTTGTTGTATGTGTACCTACTATAATTAGCAATGTTTAAGGAATTTAGTTGAAGTTTAATTATGTCAAGGATATAATTGTTATAAATTTTATAATTACGGTAACCAATTCAGAGTATTCGCCCATGTGTATGAAATACCAACAATGTTAGGTATCTTAAGTTAAATAAAATTATTATTAATAATTAAACTATTATTAATATCAATTTATTTTTTATTTTTTCCAATGTTTATTGTATTTTCTGAGTGCTGGCAATTTGTCATTTTCAATTTCTGTATTTTTGAGACGGTGCTATTTTTTGCATTCTGTAAGGTATTTGTACTAGCAAATTGGTGCCTTTATTGAAAAATATTTTTCTAATTTATATATGTACTGTGACATTATATAGGTACCATTGCTATCTGCAGTTATAATTGCTTATTTTATGTGTGAAAATCCATCCCAGTTATTGTTTATCATTCACTTTTATTGTCGTATATACCTTATGCTTTTATCAAGGCATTATGAATTTTTTCCACTACAGTAAAATAATCGTCTGGTAGAATTTGTTGCATTACTGGCATCTTCATGCTTTTATTT